TCGATTTTTGATGTGGGATGGTGCAGTCGTCAACCACATGCGACTATAATCAGCTGTTCTAAACTTCCTCATTGGAAGTCACGAAAAAGCGGTGGGTTTTTCGAGAAGTTGTTGATCGTGTAATTACCAAGGAGTCTTTCGTCTTTGTGTAAGTGTTATTGAAGCGTTTGGCCTAGTAGATTGTATATGAGTATACCCTTCCAGGCTCTGAAGAAGTCGATACTGCCGAAACGTCAGCTAGTGTTGTATTGTATTGTGTTTCTCTATGGAAGTAAATGTATGCTGTTTAAAAACCTCGCGATTGCTGAACAAGAAAACGACACACTGTTTACTATCTTAGCCCTTTTATTTACTGCATTTCTCTTTTTAATGGCAGGGTATGTTGCGAAATATAGCTCGTATATAATGCTGAGATATTTGCAAAACTCCCGACCGCAGGTGTATGCGGTGGAGAACGAGCGCGCACTGTTGTCCTTACCGGGGAGCAGCGTACTTCACCACTACACCATCCGGGTCCTTCGTTTTGCCTGCCTCTCAGCTAGTTCTATCGATCTTTTTGCCATCAGCAATCACACTGTTTACTCTTTTCAGATTATCTTCGGATCAGGTGACTACTACCGGGCTGTTACTGCCACAGCTAATAAGCATTTCGTATCGTCAGCATATCACCAGGTATTTACACTCGTCGTTTTGATCCTGTCAGCTTGTTCTAACTGTTAAAAAACTATTTGATTAGACCAGCACTTGGATTTGTAAATAAATTTAAAAAACAAATTTTTGGTGTTACTTTAAATTTAGTTCAAGACACTTTGTATCAGCTGCTTCATCTAAAGTCCGTTATTGATGTGGTGATAGTGGACATCAGCAAAGTATTACTCATCGTCATGCACCAGAGGTACTCAGCAGGCTGAACTCACGGGATGTGGAGAGTGTCACGCTTTTGGTATTATACATTCTTCCTGCTGTTTTAGACAAGAACGTTTCACACACAGCTTGCTGGCCTTTAACGAGAGCGAATACAGGATCGGGAGTTTTGGACTAGGAGAAAGAAATGACAATGGGAGCCGTCTAGCAGGACTCCTGTCAGCAGCACGTCTCTTCTATGGAAACTCGTTTTCCAGAAGAAAAAAAGCCACCGCTGGACATCGGAGTCTCCTAACGGCATTACCCATGCAGATATCGACCACATTCTGACAAACAGAAGATAGTGCGTCCTTGACACATCAGTAGTTCTGTCATTCTGTACTGGTTCCGATCACCGCTTTCTTCGCACGAAGATTCGATTGAGCCGCAAGCTGGAAAGGAACTCTCTTCATCGATCACGAGGAAAAAGTCTAGCTGTATACGACGAGAGCATTCTGAACGTAGTCCTGTCCGAACGTGATTGGCAGATTAGAGAAGACCCGACCGAAGACCACGAGCTGCTTATCGAAGGACTGAAAAGTTGTGCCAAATTCGCCTCAGTTCCTCAAGCAAGATCGGATCGCATCTCCATCGCTACTAAGGAGTTGCTCAAAAAGAGAAGGAAACTGAGGTTTGATCCTACTGCAACACATTTAACATGGCTAGTAATAAATGCCAGCTGCAGAAGAGCTCTGCAGGAAGAGCTACAACGGTATAAGCTGAAGAGAAGAATGGAAGCAGCAGAGAAAAGAAGCAGTCTGAAAAAATGCCGTCAGGTTTTGTGTGATTATAATGTTCCGCTGCCAGCTCTGATGAGCGAAGATGGGATCGTCAAAACTTCCCGCCATAATATGGAAATAATAGCGGAAACGTTCTACACCAACCTTTTTCGTTCCACAATCCATGCTCCAGGCTCTAATATCCCCGCTGGAGGAAAACCACCTGGAATTCTTCCGTCGGAGGTTCGAGCTGCGATAGAAAGCATGAAAGAGACACAGCTCCAGGACACGATAATACCACTGCCGATTTCCTTAGTGCTGGAGGCTACAATTTACATATACTTCTCGCAGGTCATATGACAGGGTGCCTTCAAAACGAAAGAATTCCAGAGCAGTGGAGGACGTCGCGCACTGTCATCCTGCCCAAGAAAGAAGACCGAAGGGATCGTCGCAACTATCGTCCCATATGCTTGTTAAGTGTACTCTACAAACTCTTCATGAAGATTATCCTCTACCGCATATCATGGACATTGGATGAGGCGCAACCAGTCGAGCAAGCAGGATTTCGAAAAGGATTTTGCTGCATGGATCACATCCAAACCGTGTCCAGGGTCATCGAAGTTTGTCGGGAATACCACTTGTCTCTAGTCCTAATCTTTCTCGACTATGAAAAAGCGTTTTACAGTGTCGAAACGAATGCAATCCTATCAGCGCTCGTCGACCAAGGGGTGGACCCGTCCTACATTAGGACTCTGTCCGACTGTTATCGGAACAGCACTACGAAAATACAGCTTTTTCATCGACTTCTTACAATACCCATAGGAAAAGGAGTTCGACAGGGCGACACAATATCGCGAAAGCTGTTCAGTGCCGCACTGCAGTGGATAATGAAGTCACTCGATTGGGGTGAGAAAGGCATACATATTGATGGAAAATTCCTATCAAACTTTCGTTTCTTCGACGAAATGCTCATCTTCTCAAGAAGTACTAGCGAAGCAGAGGTGATGATCAACGAGCCCAACGAAGCGGGGAAAAAGATCGGACTTCGCATAAATCGAAGGAAGACTCAGTTCATGAAAAACCCATGGTACGAAGGGGAAAAAGTTGAATTGGATGGCTCTTTGATTGCAGAGACCACTTCATACGTATACCTTGGGCGGTCAATGAACATGGGAAATGACATGAAAGAGGAACTAGACAGAAGAAGGAGAGCAGCTTGGGCCACATTCGGGCCTCTCAAAGAAGCCATGGACCAATTGAAGGACCCGAAAATCCGCGCTCATCTCTTTGATTCTACCGTCCTCGCAGCGCTCTGTTATGCTGCAAAGGCGTGGGTTAATACTTCAACTACGTCAAAAATTTTCCGCACTGCACACAGCGCTGGAGCGATGTCTTCTGAAATATAGCCGGCACTCTCAATATCAAGCTGGAATGCGAAGCTCCGATCTTTGAAATCTGTCACATCTTCGAGATCCAGGAGAATATACATCGACAGCGAATCATGGATGAGCCGGTCACATAATGAGAAGAACAGACGACAGATGGACGAAAAGAACAGTAGAGTGGACTCCTAGAGGATGCAAACGTCCCCTTGGACGACCATCTACACGTTGGACGGTCGTGTTCGTGAACAAAGTTAATCAGCTGTACCCGCAGCTGCAGTTGTTCTACAGATCACGGTATGAGACTCGCAATCGTTACCATGGTTGAACAAGACCACCACCATGAACTGCGATTGCGAGGGAGAGGAACGAATGACATACGTGCTGGGGTCCGCACGGCTCGTGAAGACGGACCGTTCAAGTATCCAAATAAGTTGTTGTCTTTTGCTGAGATATAAATCTGTTCTCAGATGGACTCCTGCATGGAAATCTCGAAGTGCTTTTCATTTTGCGTGACAGTGCAGAGTCTGTGAATACTGTGCTGTACATCATAGTTCGACATCTAGAAATAGTCTTACATTTGATGAGGCGATAAACCACCAAGTGACTGAGACGTCCTATTACCTTTGAATTACTTGGATACTTGGAACTTGGGTGACCCATCCTCGCCGGATATGCGAGCCCCAGAACAATTTCCATTTCTTCGGAGTTTCACTGATCTAGTCATTGTGGTTCTCTGCTGTCTCGAGGTCATTCTGGCCAAAGTCTGCCCCAGGTCTTCACTACCACAGGCAGTCGCGGTTTTGTGGATCAGAGAGGTTTGCCACCGCGCGACTAGTTTGATACCAAGACGGTGGTGGATCCTGGTATTGGTTTACCCTTAACTGAGCTTCCTGATGGAAACGCCAGAATCTTCAGCTTGGGGAACCCTGCTGAGGGAGATGAATCTCCCCGCTATACATCGAAGCCCGACACCCAGGAACAGCTCCCAGCCACGATGAAGTGGTGAACTGTTGGACGGATTAGCTTTGAACTTTATAGCTCCATATATGTAATAAGTGTAAGGTCTATATAGATATATGTATGTATAATATTTGCACAGTCTTCCTCCTTTTTAGGGCGTGTCCTTCGACGTAATACTCCACGAATCTCGTGCTCTGAGTGAGCAGAAGGAACTCCCACTTCCCACGCAAACAGAATCATAATGTTTCGCTAATGTTTAGCGTTTTTACTATGAGAACACTTCTAACTGAATGTTTGGAATGTTGCAAGTTTTAAATTCAGGGTGATGCTTATATGGGATTGTTCAGTGGTTATGACAATGTTTTGTACTGCCAGTGATCATTAGCGGTTATGTGAAATTTTTCTACACCTGTTCTTAGTGTTTTTTTTAAATTCCGACTAAGTGGTTTTCATTCCCTCTTACTGGATGTTATGTTTTAATAATATCATTATAACTTGCTTTTATTTCAGTGACAGTTATAAAATAAGTGATTTCCGGAGAATATGGTAAAAGGACCACCAACCCAGCGAGCCCGAGTGATCGATTGTCGGCAAGACGCTGTTAGAGCAGTAAGGTACAACGGTGAGAAAAAGACTAAGGGGATTTTTGAAAACAACATTTGATGCCAGGAAAGGAATTCACTTTTGCTACAGAAGCGGTTTTGGAACTGCGAAAATGCAGACTTGGTGACTTTATAGCATCTAAATTGGTACAGAGATAAAGGATAAAAAGGATAAAGCTTTGGGCGTTGATCAATTTCTTAAGGATACGCTATGCATTCGACTTCATTAAACATCGTTTGAAAGTGATCGGATGTATATCTGACCTTTACAATGACTCGCGGTGGCCTGCCGATGTATCAAGCGGATACTGGTATCCTTGCAAGCAAGTCTGGTACCAATTTTCCGATCCCGGAGGGGTGGAAGACTTGGTGAGCCGCTTGCGCGGGAATTGGTCCCATGTGTATTGCAGGGTGCCTCCGACCACTTGTGAAGTAGAGTGACTGAGGTGCACCTCGTGTCAAACTGATGATCTGGACAAAGAGCCATTTTTGATGGGTTTTCCAGTTATAGCGGCGCATTTTTTCATTAAGACAACCTAATAGTGTGTGGGTTTCTTATCTTTTAAGGTAATTTTCTGTTCGTAGCAAAAGGATACGTATAATTTAAAAAGTATACAAAAATGACAGATTAGTATGAATTCAATGAAAGATTACTTGAATACTTGGGTGGCCCATCCTCAGCGGTTGTGTAGACCCCAGCATAATTTCCACTTTTTGGGAGTATTGCTGGTTTAGCTAATTTAGTTCCCTGGAGTTCTGAGGTCAGCCTGGCCAGTCTGCCCCAGGTCGTCAGCACCAAAGGTAATCGCCGCTTTTGTGGATCACAGATAGATTTACCACCACGCGATTAGTTTTGTACCAGGACGGTGACGGGGTCGTGGTATTGGTTTACTCTTAGCTGGGTTTCATGATGGAAAAGCCGGACTCTTCAGCTTTGGAGGCCCTATTGAGCGGATGAATCCTCCTAACATACATCGCAGCACGGCACCCTAAAATACCTCTCAGCCATGATGTGGCGGTAAACCGTTGAGAGGAATGAGAGATTATGAATCACATTGTTGTGTATGCACTAAATGCATTGTCAAGAACGAAGCATAGGTTTTCACTTTGTATTTCTAAGCACCAGGACTTCCACAGTCAAATATGGAAATTGAAGAATAGTGTTACGTACTGAATTCTTGTCATTGACAAACATGTTTGGAGTTCCCACAACTTTATTGAAACCGGGAGGAAATTCTGGAATGTTCTGCTATAATACTGGTGCCAAAGTCTTAAGCAGATTGATGCAACGACTAAAAGACGATTTTAAACACAAAAAATTGACGGATGGTTGGTCCTGAGCATTCATGATATCTCCTTCTCTTTGTTTATCCGAAAAAGTGTTTTGGAAGTTGTAGAAACACGGGAATGGAGGGGTTTGGAGTTAGGTTTTTAGGTATTCGTGATATCTTATTATAGTCTGCCTTCGTTTTTAGCTTCTGTATTCAATGTCGACGTAAAAGTTCATCTAAGCTGCCGATGGTTTGCCTTATAGTCTTGACATGGAGGTGTTACTCGATGTCAAACTACAATACACAACGGTGGCTTCGTACCCTTTAACGAGGTCACCTATGCCGAGATTGAATTCAACATTGTCATTCGAAGTGGCATTATTCGACGGTAGAGCTCGGCGTGATAGTCGCGACAGGACATACCTCTATCCACGGGCCGCAGCAAGGTGTCTATTGTGCTGGTTCGAAGTGTCCTAAAATGCCAACATAATATTTGTTTCGATTCAGCGATTTTGTAAATTCGTACCGGTCTGGTGTGAGAGTATTACTTACTTGGATACTTGGATGGCCCGTCATCACTGGTTGTGCAAGTCACAGCATAATATCCATTTTTTCGGAGTTTTGCTGGTTTAGCCATTATTCCCTGGAGTCCTGAGGTTAATCAGGCCAAAGTGTGCCCCAGGTCTTCACCACCACAGGCAGTCGCAGTTCTTACGGATTAGTGGGAAATTTGCCACAATACGACAAGTTTGGTACCAGGACGGTGACGGATCCTGGTGTTGGTTTACTCTTAGCTCGCCTTCCTGATGGAAGCGCCGGACTCATTCTCAGCTTGGGAGACCCTGCCAAAGGTGGGATTCTCCCGCTGTACATCGCAGCCCGACACTTAAGAGCACCTCCTAGCTGCTATGAGGCGGTAAGCCGTTGGTGGAGAATATTGGGATAGTAAAAAGTAATAAATATGAAATAAAAAAGAACTAATTTGATAGATCGCCAAGCTTCCACAAGCATTGTATAGGCTGAATATTTATTCATTGTTCTCTATTATACGTAGTGGAGTCGAATGAATTACCCATCCGTGAAAGTTTGATCAACTCGGAAAGTTTTGTATTTAAACTTGAACAGATCGGGGCTGATGCAGAGGGTGATCATTTTTCTGTACATTTTTTTGTTTAGTTGATGGCAACTACTGTCTAACATGTGGTAGTGATAAATCGGTGAAACTCTGGAATCCGATCAAAGGGACGTTGTTGAAAACTTATACCGGGACTGGTAATGAGGTAACAATGTTGCAACCTATCGTATTAATTTGCTCTGAAATTGATGTTCCATTTGCGATTTCATGTACCTTTTAGGAATAGTTTTTTTTTTCTCGAAAGGTTATAGGTTTGGTTGTATAAGTTGCTTTTAGATGTAAATTGTTTTTCTGACAAGCTTTAAGGTTAAAATGTTGACTTTTTTATTTAGTGCCTATTACAATATTTCACGGCAGAGTGTTATGCTTAAGCATGGTTTTCGTTGCTATAAGTTTCTATTTTCAAAATGAGATTTATACTTCTAGGTATTCGATGCTGCGTCGTCCTCAGACAACTCTCAGGTGGCTGCTGCTGGAGCTGACAAATGCTTGACGATTTTTGATGTGGAAACTGGAAAGATCGTGAGACGATGGAGAGCACATGCCGGTGTGTTTTTTCGTCATTACTAAGCTATTCCTGTCTGTATGCATGGGAATATCGTGCAGTAGAATGGCTTTACAAACTTTCCGTTGGTGGTCATCTGCTGCCACACTTGCATTTCGATTACCAAAAACTTAAATTTCCTTTTAAGGTTTTTGAAGACATTAGTTCCACAGGAATTTTATGTCGGAGCAATATTCCAAAAGATGATTAATCAATAAGCATTTGTATGTTATTCCCAAGACCGATTATTTATTAACGTCGGCATTGATTAAATAATACACTATATTCTTGACGAGGAAACAAGAGGTGTTACTGTATTCTTTATTGACGGAGGAGTTGTCGTGTCAGCGGATATCCAGCCAAACACCTCCGTAACTAATCTGAGAAAACGCTAAATCGAGATCTTAATCACACTGAGTACAAAGTAGCTTCATCCTACACACTATTTTCTATGAGTCTTCCACTATTTCACCTAGGGACCAACCGCATAGAGCTGACGTGGAAGCGTAGTATGCTTCTCAGAAATTAAAATATCGGTCTTAAATACTGTGTGAGATCATGCGTGATAATAAGGCATTCGTATTTGCGGATTATTCTCGGATTCTTAGAACTTATCCAGAACGAGTTGGCAGTTTTGGGCTCTGGAGTTTTCGATTTCTGCGGAATTAAAAACTTGCACTTCAAAATACTTCTTGTTATGTCTCAGTGTCCTATGCTTGCTTAATGAAGTATTTGATTGAACTTTAAGTTTACCAACTAGGTGTTCTTTTACACGGATGCAGAGTGGTTTACCCGTTTTGCCAACGTATTCGCCTCCGCACGCTTTACTAGAGCTCGGATAAATCGTACACGAACTCATGCGATCACCATTCTTACCGGTAGGACACATTATGCAATTTTGCGTTATGCATAGACGATCATTGAGATGGTTATGAATTAGGTGACGTCTTAGAGTGTTCGGTCGTAGTGCAGTCACTGTTATCGAGTTTTGTGCACCGTGCCTTCTTAAGCAACTTTTTATAGCTGCATCTTTTTCATTGAAAATAAAGGGCACGATAAACGGGACCTTATCATCCTTAGAATTATCGTTTGAGAGCACGTTTTTTCCTCCACACCTATGAGGAGCTGCAGTTTCGTAGCCGTTTTCGATAAAATAAGTGCAGGTTTAAAATAAATGTTTAATATAATTTTTAAATTTATTTTTAGTTAATTTTAATATTTAATAATTTATTAACTTAAATATAAAATAATAGATTTAAAGCAAAAATAAAATTTAAGATTTAAATTTGAATTTAAAACAAAATGTTGCTGGTGGGCCGGTGTGGAGGATTCGGTAACAGTAATTGAAATACTATCGAGCACTCTAGTATTCCAGCTAGTTCGCAACCGCCTGTATGACTTTCTATATACAGCGTTAAATTGCATAGTTTGTTCTAACGGTAGAGATGGTGATTGCATGAGTTCTGTTGCGGTTTATTCGATCTCTTTTAAAGGGTGCGGCGATGAAAACATTGGCGAAACGGGTAGACCATTCTGCGTCTTTATAAAAGAACATTTAGTCGCCAAACTTAAAGTTAAATTAAGTACTCCGCTAGGCGCGCATACGACACAGTGACATAATGTGATGATTTTGAAGTATGTAGAAGTTACCATCCTCGCACAGGAGTCGAAAACTTTAGAGCGCTATACTCTAGACGTTCTGAATAAATTATAAAAATCGGGAAATGGACTGCAAGAAGGAACTCCTCATGATCACGTGTATAGCAGCTATTGGCAGAATAGTTACTATTCTTTCATTTTATCGTATGTTGCTACAGTAACCATATTCACGTGGTGTCTGCGGTTCGGAACGAACGCGCCACTGCCCTTTCCATGGACTAATGCGTTCAGCACCAAATCATGCGTGTCCTTTGTTTCGCTTTTCTCTCAGCTAGTTTTCTATCTACCAGTGCTATCAGCAATCAGACACATACTCTCCGGGGTTTTGCCAATATCTCAGCACCATTGTGGTTGTGTTAGCATAGTACATCGACTGCCCTCGAAAGTTATTATATAGGCCAAGTATGCATTCACTCGCTCTCTACGATGCTTAATAAAGTCGAATGCATGGTGCGTCCCTGTAAATGTGTGGTTTTTCAAAAGGGTGATAATTTAGCTCGAGTAAATGCCGTAGCATTCAATGAAGAATCCAACGTTGTCTTTTCTGGCTCTATGGACTGTACGATGCAAGCGTTCGATAATAGGAGTCGTAGCGATAAACCGATACAAGTTGGTTTTTATATCTTTATATTTTTGTCTGTCCATATTTGTCACTTGGCTCTGAAATCACATCACCATGGCCCGTATTAGGGACAATTGTACAGATCCATCCATTGTCACCTCAGTATTATGTTGCTGTCGAAAGTTATTTTACTATGAAGTCCCAAGATGATTTTACTTGACTCAGTTTCGACCCTTCTAGTTGGTAGTCACTATATCAGTTAGTTTATCGGAATATTGTCGTTGAATCAGCCGATGCAGGAGTTCAATCAATCCTTCACAGAATCCTCGTCTTAATAACTCCCACGACCGACTTTCTATTAACCTCGGCATTGATCAAGTAATTCTTCGTATTTTTGTTGAGCAAACGCGAGG